GCTTCTTTCTGGCCACCTCAAGAATATTTGTAGATGCTGCGGTGAGCACATCTTGAAGCTTCTCTAGCAGAGAAACTTCCGTCTGGGACTGAAACTCGTTCCGAGCCTTTACGTAGACAGTGTAAAATAACATCAATACTATTATTACAAGGACTACATAGGTCCTATGGTACCCCCTTCGGCTAGAGGTCACCGCTAAGCTCTTTGTGTCGTAGACTTATGCACCAGATGGCCAGACGTAGTATGCCTCCGTTCACTAACGGCAAGAGCTGCATGTGGCGCGCTACTGCAGATATTTTCTCAACATGGGGCACCAGAACCAATTTCCTCAGATCAGGGCACCAATTTTACGTCAAAGTTGGCACAGGAGAGGTTACAAAAACTGGGGGTAACACTGAAGTTTTCCACACCTCATCATCCGCAAAGCAACGGCTTAGTAGAGCGCTGGAAGGGCACGTTCAAAAGAATACTTTCTCACATAGCGAGCGCACATGAACGCGAATGGGATCGAATGATTCTGCTTTTGTTATGGGCATATCGCGAGCTTCCACATGTGACTACAGGGCAGTCTTTGTTCGAGCTCATTGACGGGCGGGTGCCAAACGGGTTCCTAGCCATTCAGCCATTCTCAAAAAGACTTGGTCAGCAGACTGGGTAGTTCCGGAATCACAAGGTATACCAGCAGCGGAATATTTAGCGAAGCTCCGAAGTAGTTTGGACGAAGCCAGTGAAGGAGCCACCCGACAGAGTGAAGTCATTCAGAACGAGTATGTAGAACGCTCTAACTTGAGAGCTATGGACAAACAGTTCGTCACAGGGGACCAGGTACTATGGCTCAAAAAGGAAGGAGAGGGGAAGCTAGTGGCAACATGAAAGGGACCAATCACTGTGCTCGAAAAACTGAGACCGTACAGTTATTTAGTTGAGCTCGATGATGGTTCACGCAGAACCATTCAATTAACAAACTTCGCCCATATCACACGCATTTCAGTGCAGTAGGAGTGATATTCGAGAGCGATCAGGAGTTTGCAAACGTTCCGGTCCCACCATGCGGGCCAGAGGCGCAGGTGACGCAGCAGCTTGTTGAAGTAGCACATCTGGAACCCGCACAAAAAGAACAGCTGTGAGACTTAATCGCGAGGCATTCGAAGGTATTCGCAAACAAACCCAGCTCCTGCAAAGTGGGAATGCACAAAATAAAAATCAAACAAGGAGAGCAACCAAGACGTGCAACCCCTGCAGGGTGCCAATGGCACTGGTGCACGAAGTAGAGAGGGAGGTAAATTAGCTAGAGCAGTGGGGATTTGTGTACCCCGTTGAAAGTCCGTACGCATATCCACTGGTCTGCGTATCAAAGAAGGATGGCGGCATCTGTCGCGATCACAAAAGACTGAACGAAATAACAGAGACAGACGCATTTCCCATGAGCGTGGCGACTGATCTGTTATACTAGAGGGCGAAGGCCAAGTACATAACTCCGCTAGACATGTTCAGGGGTTACTGGCAAATACTTTTCGACAAGGACGCGCAAGTTTGTACTGCTTTTGCCACTACCTCCGGCCAGTATGCATGGAAAGTGATGTCCTTTTGGATTAAAGAATGCCGCCAGCAGCTATCAGAGGGTCATCAATGCTGTACTGGCTCCGTATAGACATTCCGCTTGCGCTTACATTGACGATGATGCGATAAACTCTGAGAGCTGGGACCAGCACCTGGAACATTTAGACAAAGTGCTTGCGTCACTGGCGAAGGCAGAGTTGACGTTCAACCTAAGCAATTGTCGTTTTCCACAACAAGAAGTGAAATTCTCGGGGCACATTTTAGAATCAGGCAGGCACAGGGCCGACCCAGAGAAGGTCAGGGCGATAAAGGAGATTTCGACTCCCGAAGCAAAAGGACAACTTCGTAGTTTTCTCGGGCTAGCCAACAATTATAGTGACTACATGCCCGAGTATTCCAACGTCGTTATGCCTCTCACCAATCTCACTGGTTGACGTATTCCGCAGAAATTACCGTGGAATACAGAAGTGCAAAAGCTTTTGACAAAGTGAAAAACAGTGTAGTGAAGGCGTCGGCATTGCTTCCCCAGATCAAAGGAAAGAGTTTATCCTCGCAACAGATGCATCTGACTATGCCGTTTGTATGTGCCTGGCACAGCAGGATCTTCAGAGCAAGGAGCGCCTTATCGCTTTTCTGACCAAGAAGCTTAGCCTGGCTCAGACCCGATTGGCCACCATAAAAAAGGAAGCTTACGCAATCATTTGGACACTGGGAAAGTTGAATGCTTGGCTGTTTGGTGCTAAAGTCAAGGTCATTACCCATCCAAACAAGCTCAAATTTCTCTCCCTGACCACTACACAGAGAGCTAGGCTGACACGCTCGGCGTTGGCGCTGCAGACGTATAACTTTGAAATTGAACACAAAAAGGGTCTCTAAGCACTAATGCCGTCGCAGTGTCGCAGTTGGTGACTCCCAACGATGACGCATAAAAGGGATATCGAGGTAAGGGAATGATTGATTCATTGATTGATTAATTTGATAATGAGAGACGCCGTAGTAGAGAGCTCCGGAAATTTCGACCACCTGGGGTTCTTCAACGTGCAGCCAAATTTGAGCACACGGGCCTACAACATTTCCGCCTCCATGGGAAATGCAGCCGCCGCAGCCGAGTTCGATCCCGTGACCTGTGGGTCAGCAGCCGAGTACCTTAGCCACTAGACCACCGCGGCGGGGCAGCGAGGTAAGGGGAAGTGTATGCTTTGTCAGTGCAAGATTGATTGATATGTGGGGTTTAACGTCCCAAAACAACCATATGATTATGAGAGGCACCGTAGTGGAAGGCTCCGGAAATTTTCACCACCTGGGGTTCTTTTATGTGCAGCCAAATCTGTGCACACGTGCCTACAACATTTTCGCCTCCATCAGAAATGCAGCCGCCACAGCCGGGGTTCGATCCCGCGATCTGCGGGTCAGCAGCCAAGTATCCTAGCCACTAGACCACGGCGGCAGGGTGATTTTTTAATCGTTGTGTGAAGTTTCCATTGCACGCGGTTTTCTTGAAGTTAGCGCAATATCTCTTTATTGAAAAGTGCTACCATTATTTGAAAGTTTGATGAATAAGCATGCTGACAAACTGATGCAGAATTTTTACCACCTAATCGTAGGCCTTTTTTGAGACGAAGACCTGCAAGATACGAAAAAAACAATTTCTAGATCAATTTTGAGATGTTTTATGAATATTTTTACACTACCCAGAGAAGTGACAAATAACTGAACGCAAACAAAGATAAGCACATGTTTAGCTAAACAAACTTGTGATACATATATTTAATGTAATTTGTGTAATTCATCTCCGAAATTGAAAAAAAAAACAGCAGAACAGGTAAACATGGCACTCCACCTCGTAGCTATATTTGATTTACTGTATTTTGAAAGAAATTTTTCCGACAAAACTAGTTGATGATATCTTCCTCCCACTGATAAGGCAAGAATATACAAAATTTTGAAATAAATTTGAAAGGTTCATCGGCCATACTTCGTTCAATTTTGCATGAAATCGCTTTACAGTTCCCGTGACTCCACATGCTTCGCATGACGTCGTTTTCCGATGTACGTTGGCTCTGCCGAATTTTTCGAAGGGAGAATATATAAATTTAGCGCATGAAGAAACGCACGAGAAAACTGTCATGCCGTCAAACTTTCGCTGCCAAAGTGCAGGTTCGGACTTAGTGCGTGCATCGGTCGTGTATACCGCAAGCACGTCAAGACTTTCACTCGCGAAACGCTCAGTGATTGGCTTCTAATATTAAAAGAAAAGACCCTATTGCGGGACGCCAATATATATAGGTGGCCGCTGCCCAGGGCATTTCCCTAAGGAGCGTTGAGCATCAGAGTAAGGTACCTCGATACACGCACCCAGAGCATCGAGCCACCCTACACCCAAGGTGAAGCAGCTGCGCAGGTACTCCTCCCAAGCGTGTCTAGTTGGGATGGGGAAGGAGGATGAAAAAGGTGGTAGGCTGGCGGGGCACGAAGCGACAAAACTGTAGGTGTCGGCTAGGACTTTACAGGTCAGGCAAGCGCCATTGGTTTCCGGCAAAATTGATTGGTTGAGGGTTACTTAAAAAAGTGTTGCAGTTCACCTTACATACATCTTTGTACGTACCTGGCTTTTGCTAGTTGTGTGAAAGTGGCTAACAAAGAGCAAGCCCACATCTGGGCACCGTGGAGGATGCACAAGCTCTTGGCAAGTTACGACTGTAGTGACCATGGACGAAGTCCTTATTTAGAAACTGGTACGCAAAAAGATGATCAATGGGTTAGTGCTAAGAAGGCAAGAAGAGAAATTTAAGACCTTGTTCCAGAGAGATACTGGACTCTAGACATGCCCCAGGGCTCTGCCCTTAGTCCTCTATATCTAATTCACATTAACAACGTATACCTTTGCATGCATCTTCAAATTTCCGCATTCACGTTTGCCGATGACTGTTATTTATCGTATCATTACTAACGCTTCTGACCAAACATTACTGCGAGAATACCTGGACTACATCCTACACAATGACGTGATGACTGGCATATGTCCTTAAATTATTCTAAAACTTTTAAACTATTTTATAAAACCACTCAATTCTTAGCCAATCCTGCTGTGTTGGGGGATGGCTGGTCTCGACGAAGCAGAAGAAGAAGACGGCCGACGGTGACGAACGCGGCCGGCGGGGAGGCCGACCAGCCCGAACACGCGGGTTAGCGCGAAGCGCCGAAAAGAACAACAACTGCACTCCAAGGTTACCCAACGCACACTCCTTTTATTTAACAGTCGCCTTGAAATCCTGGATGCCAGAGCGGCGCCCCCTGGCATCCTCACATGTCATTCTGAAACAGAAACCGACAACCCAGAACATAACAAATCCCACACAGTAGGTATGCGTTACAGTTAATACGTGAACCAGAACAAGAACGTCTCCAGAGCCAGCCGGAGAAAAACCCATGTATCGATCATGACGGCTCGTGAAAGCCTGGGATACGGCCTGATGGGCTTCGGACCGGCGCTGTCGATGTTCGCGCTGACAATCGCGCGACACCCGAGCCGAGTCGTGGTGCTGCTCCTGTCCTCTTTCAGCTGGATACTGCCGCTGCTGCTGTCCTCGCTCGCCTGGTTCGTGCTCTCGCCGCTCGGCTCATCCCTGGACGTGGTCGTGGCCATCGCCGTGCTCTTCCAGGAGGGCGCCCGACTCGCCACCCTACAGGCGCTGCGCAAGGCGGACTGCTCGCTCAAGTTGGCTGCGCTCGCCGGAGATGCGCAACTCGCTCGGAGCAGGGCTGCGCTGGCGTACGCTTCGGGCCTCGGCTTCGGCGTCGCCAGTGGCGCCTGCTCACTGCTCAACCCGCTGGCGGACATTGCCGATGCGGGAGTTCCTCCCGGTGTCGTGGGTACCGCCAAGAGGTACGTCTCATGGTAGCTCCACACTGCGCGGTTTCCCATCGCGATTCTCCTCGGTGGTCACTGCGGCTTCACATGCCCTGATGTACTTCGTCGCAGCGACAAGTGCATGGGATCATATTAACGATAGGCCTGCGCGTAGACTCACGTGAAACACAACCGTTTCCGTTCCTACACCATCTTTTGTCTTTGTCATTGAGAGCGTTGCTGATGTAAGATGACAACCGTATCAACTTGAATAATCTATCCTTGCAAGACAGAGCGCTGCTACGCAAGGAAGAATGGAGGAAGAAGGTATAATCCTAAAATGGAGATCTCAGTGACAATTTTGAGTTCTGGTCATAAAAAGAATCATGAGAAGGCTCACAGGAAAAGTACAGACTTATCACGTCATAGGAATTTTTTATTCGCTAAATGTCGAGAGCAGAGCGGCTAGATCACATTGACATTGGCATCTCTAAAAACTGTCATAGATGCAGTAATGTCTTAAATGGTTTGGCGACAGTGAGTGGGGATTAGTTTCCAAGAGTCATATAGCGCATATAGACTCTAAAGATGAGGGAAGAAAGGATCCAACTTCTCGTTAGTGTGATGATATGTCTGCTTGACGTCAGTCTTTTTCCATTCTCCGAAAGATAATGCACGTATTGGTTGGGAATTCTGGAATTTCATGCGATGCGTGCTTTTTCCTGAGAAGTCCTCTGGGCGATAGCTAGAATATGCCACCATGTGTACGTGTTCAAAGTGGTCACCTCATTGCCGGCCCAGAAAATAGAGAACCAGCTCTTTAGTAACGTCTTTCGAATATAAGAAAACTAATGCAAGGTGTAAAACGAAAACAGAACGCCTAAGTAGAATTATACTAACCAGAACATTTGACTAGGTACTAGTTGAAGTATAAATGCTGTTAGTTATAGTGACAGAATTAAGCATCCTTTTTGCAATTTTAATAGATCAAGCTTGTTTTGTTTTCATTTTCCTCACTTGTCTTGCAAGGTCGCAAACAAGCGGCACTTCTAGTGCTGCCCTGTGGAAAAGCCTTGATACTACGCCTGGTGTCCTTTAGTGCTAATTTGTAAGATGTATACTGTACTTACTTGTTCTCGTTGTTTCGTTTGTTTATGTACAAGTTGCGTGTGCAATAAAACTTCCCTACTGCAAAATAATTCCTGATTACAGCATCTATGTCGTTAGGCATCCCTAATTTATCCCGTGGTAATAATCACGAGGCAAAAAAAAGTGACCCCGATATGTGGCGCTACCTTCGCGGCAGCTTGTGTAACAGATAATCCGTGTCGAGCCGCACCATTGCACACGTCATCCACACATGCGCGGCGCACGCTGTGCAAGCCCGAACCACCACAACGCAGGCTTGAATGATAGGACCTTATTTGTTTGCCGACGAGTATACAATGAATGTCGCGCTTGACAACCCATGTTTGCAGCATGTGCGGCGTGTACCACTTGACCGGCGTAGATGTGAATTTTCCTATTTAAAATAAATTCGGGGATCTCTTCCCCTATCGGGAGAATGGAGGCAATTAAGCGAAGCTTGGAATGTGCGTGTCTGGCATATTAGGGAGGAATTATCTTTACTGACAGAAACCAGCAAATTTAGGTGGCCAGGCTTAGGCTTCGCATGCGGGGACGTCAAAGCCCTGCAACGACGCCACTTCACAAGGGTGCCTATCTTGTGCATTTTCGTAAACGCAGCGGAACAAACATGGAAGAAAAGGACACGTGAACAGGACCAGCGCTAGACTTCCAATGTAAGTTTACTGATATAACGGGATGAAAATATACAGACGTTCGCAAAGCCCACAGTGTCAGTAAACTTCTGTTTGATATCTAGTGCCCGTCCTGTTCACAAGTCTGATTAGTTTCTTTTATTCCGCTGCGCTTGCTGAAATCCACAGGCTGTAATCTCATTAACTGAACCACATCTCTGCGTTGAACAGTGTGTTTTCTTTTCCGTTTTTTTCTTTCTATGTCATTACGGTTTTTATGTTTCTATGTCATCACGGGCGGATGGCCGGAGGGACGAACGCACATATGGACGGATACACGGAAGGTGGCATGGACGGAAGCAAGGACGGACGCACGTATGGACAGAAGCAAGAAGGAACGGACGGACGAAAGCACGGGCGGACTGACGGATGCTTCGCCCACTCATCATCAATCATTCCGTGAATATGCTGAAGTTTTTGCCTTCCTCGTGCCGGTTTCACCCAGCGCGACACTTTCATTATTACAACATTCAACAACGAAGGTCACGCGGCCATATTCAAGAAAATGTGGCACGATGGAACTACAAGCGACCTCAATAAAATGTCAGATAGAGATATCAGGAACGGTCTATTTTCGACAAGCACATGATGAAGAGACCACCAGTCTTTGGAAAACTGCGCGTAATATTAAGCATGTCACCGGCACACACTATGGGGGCCGCATTTCCACAGCTTCATCGTCGTCTGGCACTCCACGTATCATGCCTATGTACTCTCTTGTATAATAAAGTGTGACCACGGTTGTGAGCTCTCCCATGATAGAGTACCGAGTACTCTAAATCGTTACCCACTTCTTAACACAGCCTCTTAACGGGACGGCTTATGCTCTCCCATAGTAGAGTACTTCGTACTCTTAATCGTCATCAACTCTATCCAAACACACAGAGCTGTCAACGGGATGGCTTTAAGCTCTCCCATAGTAGAGTACCTTAGTGCTCTAAATCGTTTACCCACTTTTTCTAAGCACACAGCTGCATTAGATTTTTTATGTATAGTGGGACGGCTTCCTGCTCTCCCATAGTAGACTACCCAAGTACTTCAAATCTTTGAACACTGTTTCTAAACACACGCTCGTCCCATGGAATCCTTGTTCCGGAATGGCTATATCTATGTTACTCTATGACTATAAGCTCTCCCATAGTAGAGTACCAAGTACTCTAAACCATTAAAGGGACCCTGCAACACTTTTCGAGCATGGTCAGAAAACGCTGCCGATAAGTAATAAAAGCTCCCTACAACACGCGAGCCGAATATTATAGCGCAGGACACGGCCTAAAATTCACAATAAATTATCAAAGTAAGCAAAAATTGCTGTCTCTTCTCTCGACAAACTACATAATATGCCGAAAAATCACACGTAGTAAGCCCATCATCAGCCACTGGCTGATTTGAACTTGGCGTGCTCACTCGTTACAAATATCGCCACGGGAGGCGGCTACTTGAACACGCGTGCGCGCGCGATCACATTAAAGAAACTGCGCATTCGAAGAAAAAAATTACAATAAATCGGCAGATCCCACGTACCTGGGAATCGACGCTATGCGAAGTATGTGGAGGGAAGGTGACTGTGTTGCAATTATGTATTGTGCGACGCGTCATGAAATGACGCTAGGTATATGTACAAATGTTGCACGCATAGACAAAACTTGAAGAGTTCCAGGGGTTTATATAACCGATCTTTGCACTTGCTTAACGATGCCAACTGGAACATGCGTATTAACAATATCAGAAGCTGATATGAAGCGCAGATGTTCGCGAAGATGCTAGCTCTGTGACACTACTACATAAATCAACCTCAGCATATGGCAAATAACCACAATTGGCGTTAACCCGACGTGATTACTCCTATCAAAGGGGTACATGAGTAATGTTTATACAATTGGGTAGGCAGCACTGCAACCACTATAGAATTTTCACAAAGATTAGCGTCTATTTGAAAAGTATAGTTCTGAGACCTGGTGTAGCTCTGCGGTAAAAGCTTCATTGCCACGCAGAATGCTTGGGTTGGATTCCAGCTGAGACCCTGACATTTATTCTTTGCATTCGTCGGGTCGACGCTACCGACGTCGAGTATTTCTTAACGCTCGCGCATCATTGAAATTGCCCATGTGGGTTCTCGTCGTTCCTAGGTGGACACGTTCTATCACCTGTGGCACGTACCTGCATACGTACCAACGGCACATACCCGCCTGTGGGTATGTGCCACCGTCTGTCGAGAAGTGCTTGACGACGTACGTGGCGGAATTGTGACATTATTCATGTTTTGACCAGCATGTCATATTCGTCAAACCATTTTACTCTCCCATGCTAATTCGGTTCATGCCAAGTTCATGGGGTGACCACGAGAGCACCCAAATGTAAGCGGCATGGACGGACGGACGGACGGACGGACGGATGAATGAATGGATGGATACGCTCAAAGTCACCGAAGCTCGCTAAGAAATGCTTCGCATTAAGAAGTGCTCAAGATCGCGATGCGCGCGTGACGTTTTTCTGTGGCCCTGCCATCCCTCTCTTCTTAGCTTCCAGCGCTTTCGACGGGTCGAGAGTAGAGAAGGCAATTGCAGCATACGAAAAACCTTTGTAACTCCACTCGCACTGGACGGATTCTTAAAATTTTTGCAGCATTGATTTCGTAAGGCAATCATCTTTTTCAGTGAATTCATTCCATGGTTACTTGAAAAAGTGTTTCAGGGCTCCTTTAACCACTTTTCCTAAACCGACTTACTAGCCGTTACCGGGACACCCTTTGGCTCTCTCCTAGGAGGTTTAAACCTTGGCTTTGCCGTAGTAGAGTGCATATAGGGCTCTGAAGCGCTCTCAATTTTTTTCTAAAGACACACAATCACTGAGACCACTATCTGCTCTCCCGTAGTAGAAAACCAAGTGTGACCGTCACATTTTGAAACATAATTTAGCTATTTCGTAACTAAAATTAGCTACTTTTGAACTCCAGTTGTTGCCAATATTTTGATTAAGCTACGAGTACCTACTTTATCTTTGTATTCAAAATTAATAGCATTTGAAAGAGTTATTTTAGCTAACTCTAGCTGTGGTGTCATGACATTTTCGAGAAATACTTGCACAGGTCATTTATTCAAGCAAAGCATAGGAGATACAAAAATCGCTCTTTCCACCGACAAAATCCCACCAATGGAAGGGAAGATTTTTTGTCTGCTTTATTTCATTTCACCTAGCATCAATATGTCATGACACCACACACAAAAGACAAGATGGCACAAGCTTGCCAGGTGAAATGATGTATAATATATATATATATATATATATATATATATATATATATATATATATATATATATATATATATATATATATATATATATATCTATATACATTGTTGTTCAGTACGCTTTATTTGATTCCTTATTCAATTTTTTGAATATTCACACACCGCTAATGTTTACAGAGTTCTCTGCATACGCAGCTCGTTTTTCATAAGCGCGGAAGCCTGGTCGCTTTTCTGAAAACCCCATTTGCCCTAAATTATTGGAATCAAACCGGGAACACTTTTCTTTCAGATCATTGGTGTTCTGCGTAGTTGCGTGCAAGAAAACATTTCATATAGTTTTGTTTATAATCTGTAAATTAACACAGCTACCAGTAAATTCGTTGCATTAGAGAAAATGCCTTACAAATGCTTGGCAAAATTAATTAGCTAGTTTTTAACTCTTTGCTAGGTTTGTTTAGCTACTTATTACGCTTCAATCTAGCGATTTTTGCTCTACAACATTCGGCAACACTGCTTGAAACGTATGCAGTCCCAAAGTATTTTGAACACAAATAAGACAAACACTGCTTGGACATGTTTCACGAAACTTTTTCGTATTACCATGTCATCATTACACACACTACGCGGCAATTTTTCTGCTGTACAGAAAATAAAATTATGGTAACAGTTTTGCACAGCTGGCTATAGCCGTTTCTTTGTTCACCTTTATGCAGCATTCCTGAATCGTTCATCCTGGCGTCGGCATTGACCACGGCCATTCTGACGGCGCTGCACACCCTGTGGAGCGTGGTCGCCTTCCAAGCCCTGTGCCTTCAGAGTACGCTGCTGATCGCCTTCGCGCTAGTAGCACACATGTTCGCTTCAGGCGCCACGCTGATGAACACGAGCGGACACTTCGGCGTACTGCTGGCCGCCATCGTGGGCCTCCTCTTTTTGACGGCCGCCGTGGCGTTCGTCGTAACCAGCGGCCAGGCCGGTCGCGCCTGGTCCTGACTGGGTCTCGCACAAGGCAGCAGCTCGCCCGAAGGCTCCGAGCACGAGATGGCGTAGCCATGGTAAGGCGGCTGTGAGAAAGTTCGGCCGCGAGAGGTACTTCAAGCTGGGCCTGCTGGAAGTCAAGATGCCTTCCTCACGATTTACTTTAGCAACTTTCGAACTTTTCAATTTCGCGGCAGTTCCTAATAAACGGTTTTACGGGTTCGCGTATGTGTCTCAAAAGCTAGAAAACGGCCTCATCCAGGTACCATGCTTCATGAATGGTATCATGCCCTCTTAAACTGGTTGTCTAGGTTGTCTCGGAGGCCATATATAAAAGCAGCGCGTTCTTGCTTGCCATTTGCTTGCCATTTTTCACACTCGGTAAATGATAATGAAAGTGATAACATATATTTTTTTCACATGAAGCATTTTTTTTCAGCAAACTAAGGGCACTTAATGGCCATTTATCCAGCTAGCGATAACTTTGTGCTCTCGAGGCTCTTCGTTAGCTTGATATACTACACCAAAATCGCAACGGCCCGACGTGCACGTATGAATACACTCAAACGTTTTTATAACGAAGTTGCATAATATGATAGATTTCAGATTCAGTAAGCGAAAATCAGCAGTCATGATTTTTAATGATAATGAAGGTTGTGAGCTTAGAATGCAGGAAGTCACGCTAGAGAAACATAAATACAAATATCTGATATCTGGGCGTATGGATAAGCAATGGGACCGAGTACCTAAGGGATGACAAAATATACGTGACGACTAAAGGTAACAGGAGTGCAGCAGTGATGAAAAATAGGGCACTGTGGAATTACAAGAGGTATGATGTTGCGAGAGGAATATGGAAAGCGGTCATGGTCCCTGGCCTGACGTTCGGCAATGTGGTGTTGTGCATAAGATCAGAAGTTCAAGCAAGATTAGAAATTAAGCAACGTGGAATAGGTAGGCTTGCTTTAGGAGCTCACGGGAATACACCAAATCAGGGAGTACAAGGTGATATGGAATGGACATCATTTGAGGGCAGGGGATTAAGCTAGCAGCAAGATAAAATTTGAGAAGCGATTGAAAGAATGGGGGGAGGAGCGTTGAACTAGGAAGGTTTTCAGCTACTTGTACCTGAAGAATGTTGATACAAAATGGAGGAAGCAAACCGGAAAATGACTGGTAAATACTTAGAAAACAGCAGGTGGCCAAACCAAAAGAACTATCGATTAAGAAGAAAGTGAAGGAAACGGAGACTAACATGTTAGAATTGGCATGATTAAGAAGTCCGCCTAAGAGATCTATCGAACTTGCAGGAAATTGCCAAAGAAAGGATATGTGATAATACTCGGGATAGTTCTCTACTGTTTGAGACCAGGACGGGAGTATTGAGAACCAAGACATATCGGGCCAAATACGAAGGGGTAGACACGGTCTGCAGCGCGTGTGGAGAGGAAGAAGAAACTGCCGAACACTTGATAATGTTCTGTAAAGGGCTTCATTCTATAGTTCAGCATGATGGCACAGAGTTTTCAAAGCATTGTGGTTTAGGGACAGAGAGGGCAAAATAGACTTTAAGCCTGTAGAATTAACTAGAAGAAGGTTATCTGATAGGTGGCTAAGTCAAGACACGAGTGAAAATTAAACCTTTCACTGTAAAGTAACAGTCATCAACTTCACTATTTAAAGGGAAAAAAAAGATAAAACTAGTGATTAGTTCACTAAGGAAAACAGCTAGATGGCGTTAGCCACCGCCCGATCCAAAGGGTACAGCCACATCTATCCATCCATTCATCCATCCAGCTGTTGCTAGCACTTCGGCCAAGGAGGTACATAAAACTTGCTGGAGTGGAAGGGACGCTGTGCGAGTGAAGCCAGCCGCCGCCATCTTGCCAGTGGCAAAAAGCGTGCTCAGCGCCCTCGCGAGCTGCTGATTTCGTCCGTTCTTGTTTCACCTTGTCGGTTGTAAAGACAAATGGTTTACAATGGTTGCCTCTTGCGTCATTACGGATGTGCCAACAGGTTGAAAAAAGGTTGTGACCTCACATTCCACCTGTACGTACACGAAAACGTCTTCGACATAGCCATTCCGCGCTCGTTACTAAAGGGAGCTATAGCTGACGCGATCTAAGCGTGCAAAACATAACAGTCCGGATTTGTTTTACAGATTTACTAAAAATCCCTAACCGCGGAGCCTCTGGGAGTGGGCCGTTCGCCGTGAGAAGTAGAATGCGAAAGACGAGATCCACTTCGCTCTGTGCACTTCGCGCCAGAGTGCTTTGACCACCTCTTTGACATTGAAGGGAAGCATGTGAAATGGGGTTATGAAGTGGCATTGAAGGCACTTCAACGTGAAGAAGGGTTGTGGCTCGGAAACAAACTTACGAAAGTCCACGTCCAATGGGAAAAGCAACAAAATGAGGGTGTGATATGCTGTACAACTGAACGAGTGCCTCAGTTGCCCGACGCTTTGGACATCTGCGAACAAAAGCTAAAGCTGCCGCAATTCAGGGTGCCAGCACAAGATCTACGTTTATTAGAACTTTTGATGGCTTGTTTGACATTTTAAACTCCAGGAACCCGCTGGCAAGGTCGTACAAAGCGCCCCTTCGGCAAGGGAACAAAGCATTCTGGAAGTAGTTTTTTTTTTTTTTTTTGTGGAGACTCGAACGTACATAAACGGGCTGAGAGATCCGGCAGTGACAGAAGGACTGAAAAAAAATGTATTCATTGGTTTTTGGGATATGCATGGCAAGCACCGAAAGAATGTTTGACAGACTTGTCAGCCAGGGTCAGCTGAAATACTTACTGACACACAAACTCAGTCAAGACTATGGCGAAAACTTCTTTGAATCAATACGTGGATGAGGCGGCCATAACAACACCCAACAGCTTCGCAGTTTAGGGCTGCATACAAGCGTCTATTGGTTCAGACGGAAGTCAGTCCTTCAAGTTCTGGACACTGCTCCCAAGATGTTCTCTCCGTATTGAATGCAACGACTCCTGCAGCCATGGTACATCCAAAAAGCAATCTCACTGACATGCGCTAGGCCCAGTCCTGCAGCTCGATGACCACGACAATACGCAGTCGCATTGACTAGCCGAAAGCTTTCTGCTTTTGTCATTCCGTGGTGCCATACATAGCAGGCTTCATTGTTCGAAAGGTCGAACTGCAACTACCTGTGAATAGTGCATAGCAGCCATGCACTCAGATGAGCTGACACTTTAATTAAATGTAAGAGGCGAGGTGGTCTTGTTTTACCGTCGCGAGATGTTCATTAGCCCCTGTAAAGAAGTTCGAGGACTGAGGTGGCTACAGGCTGAATGTGATTCCATCACAACGGTGAAGTCTAGAGCAAGACCCTCATCCTGAAAAATCTATGAGCTTCCTCCGAGAAAAACTGGTTCCATAAACTAGAGCAGCACGTCCTAGACTTTGATACGCTTGATAATCAGGTTTACAGTTTTGTGCAGGCAAATCGCTGAACAATAAGTAAAAGTGAGGATACAACACATGCGAAGGAAAAAAAAACCGAGATCGGCCCCCCCCGGTCAAAGCCGGTTGGGACCACTATTTGACAAGGCAACAATTTTCAACCACCAGTAGGGCACCTATGTTTTCGATTATGTGTTTGCTTTAGGCATCGCGATTTGATGCATAGCACTTTATTGAGTTCTCTACATGCCACTTGGCTGCGTACAGGTCGCAATAAACATTTACAACCAGAGTTAATTGTTTTCGTTGCTTTATAAACACACGAGTCACTTCACCCGCAGCGCGTGTGAAGCATTAAATTGAAGCGCTCGGCTCTTTTCTGCCACTGGCAAACATGGCCGCCGCTTGCTGGGCGCGGCTTCACTCTCTCCCGTAGCGGCGCATAGGGCGGCTTCCACTCCAGCAAGTTTTATGTATCCTCCTTGCGGCCGCTTTCTACCACGATATTTTTCGATCTGAAGTAGTGCAGACGACTCGAGGGAGGACATTTGAGTTCCGACGATGAAACTCCAGAGCCAGACGCCTCAGACTTCGACAAGTACATTATCAGTAGTAAATCGTTTTTGACTTCGCACTGCATATAAGAAAAAACGCACTTATAGTTGACGACAATGTATCCTTTCTTTGCTTAGGTCTCAACAACGTACGGCAAGGATTTTTGCCAAATGCAGCACGCCGTTGAAGTTTTCACCCGTAAGACAGCCTGGTGCCCATCTTGCAGCAGCGCTACGGAGTGACGTGCGTCGCTTCTCAAGGGCGCTTGATTTTTCCCTCTTGTTTTTTACGACAGGAGTGCTCCAGACGTTATGTGATAACACAAACAAATACGCCTGGATGCATATTTTGGACAGGCAAACCTACGCTCGCCGGAACGGCTCCTGGGAAGAGGTAATGCCACGTGAGATGCTGAGGTTCATCGGACTTATCCTCTGCATGGGTGTTGTTGATGTACCATGGCTCCACATGTACGGGCGGACGACGGGAATATTTTCAGGCCTTCTCCCTCCAAATATTATGAAACGGGACCGATTCTTTGTGCTGTTAGCTTTCCTAAGCGTAGGGGACCCGGAAGATCTTGCGGCTGCAGCATCTGACGGGAAGACTTGGAGAGCGTCATGGCTCCTGCGACACATAAATCTGCAGTCACGAAGTTTGTTTCAACCACAGCGCAACCTTGCGCTGGATGAACGCATGGTGAAATCAAAAGCCAGGTCAGGAATCGGGCAGTACATTCGGGACAAAGTGATGAAATTTGGATATAAGCTGTGGGTGCTGGCGAATTCGAATACCGGCTATACAATTAACTTTTTGTGTACACTGGAAAACGTGAGGTACCAGGACCCCATGGATTAGCGTTTGACGTTGTGACTCGGCTTTGCACAGAGTATCTCCGTCAGGAATATAAAATTTTTATGGATAGCTTTTATATGTCGGCAAAATTATTCGAACACCTCCTTGAGCACAAGACGCTTGCCTGTGGGACCACTCGTAAAGATCGTCGGGGCTTCCCAAAAGAATTGAAGGATGCTACGTGAGAATGAAGGGCCCAGCATGGGGGCGTTCGCTGGATTCGGGAAGGCAACATCCTTTTCATGCAATGAAAGGATCGACGTTCTGTGTGTCTGATGAGCACGATGCCCACAGCAAATAAACATGTTGCTGCTATAAGGAGAGAGAAAAGGGGAGGCCAGTGGGTTACGAATACCATAAATAAGCCCCTTCTTGTTCATGAGTACAACACCGGAATGCTCGGCGTGGACAAATCTGATCGAATAATTGCCACGTACAACGTTCTCAGAAAAGTGCGTACGTTGGTGGAAAACCCCGTTTTTTCATGCCTTGGACATTGCGTGCGTAAATAGTTAAGGGAATCCAAATGTCGAAGAACTATTCAGAAACAGGAACTTTGACCAATTGGCGTTCAGAGAAGAATTGATTCAACATATATTTCAATAGGATGAAGTTTCTCAAGGACACGCCCCTTTCTCACCCCCCTTCTCCCTCTCTAGATCCTGTTCGGCACCAGCCGAAAAGAATGGAAAAGAGAAGGAACTGCAAGCTCTGCTATGAAAAAACAAAAACGCAAAACAGAACGAACGTATTCTGCTCGACCTGTAAAATTTACCTGTGCTTCCTGCCTTCACGAGACTGTTTGTTGAGTGGCACAGTCGTCGGGGTTAGTAGGTCAATGGGCCAAAAAAAAAAAAAATCGTTGACATGCTGTACTGGATTTATGTTTATACTAGAATGATAGCTAAGAGAACTAGTAACAATTTGTATATTTCATGTTTCTCAAAATAACTTTATCGCTCTCTACATTCACTAACTTGTGAAGTGCTTGTATAATTTTTTGTGCATTTTTTTTATTTAACAAATAAATTTTCCAATTCTATAAGCTTTATATCAAAGTGTTTTATATGTATGAAAAGCCGAATCAATAAGCTACCATTTCATATATTACTATGCTATATGTTTCTTTTTTTTTTTTCAGGAGTAATAAATTTTTTTGTGAAAGCACAAAAAAAGTGCCGTTTTTTCGCCGTAGCAAAGAGTTAAGCGAAAAAAGCTTTTTATATCCAAAAATTTGTTATAAAGTACATTCATAATACTACATCTATGGCAAGACTACTAATTTACTTCGTTATAACTGCTGTTTTGTTATATCTGAGTTTGTTATTATTAAGGTTTTAGTTACATCAGAATTATGACATGTACGGAATCATCAGTTACATGACATCATCTTGGTGCTCAAGCACTCTTTATTCATAGATCCCAAATTGGTATGCCATAACATGTGTGTATAAGAAACATAAATGACCGATCATAGCATGACAATCGCGTCATGCATATCATGTGTGTAACGATTGACATTGCACATCTTGCTTGCAGGCCATTTCACTAACTCGTTACAGTGGACTGGTATCTAAACAGAACTGCTCCTTATATCGAACTATCTCTAACACGATGGGCTTCAAACCACCCCTACTCATCTTCTGTAAATGAAACTCCTGTTAAGCTGAACATATTTTTCCTCGTCCCTTGGGAGCCTGTTTAATTAATCCACATCATATACCAAAATTGGCATGGCATGAGTCCGTATAATAAATATACATCACAGGTCATGCATGGTAAATGCCAGAATATATGTTCTGTTAACATGGTACATGCATAACAAGCATGCAATAGTGAACATGTCATGACATGAATGCTTTGATTAGTCTCAAAGCATCAACAATGCAATCTATGCAGCTTCTTATTGACTGTTTCGCATTGCATTGATTCATGATGCATTGGGTCTGCCATATATTTGGTTTTTATTTTTTACAGTGAAAGCTGTATATGGCTAGGGGAAATGAAAATCCGTCCGGCAGCGGTGTCACAATTGGTTTCCATTGGCTGTGTTATCACTTGCGTCGTTCCCAGTGTCGTACTCAAGAACGCACGCTGTTGGCTGCATTGTGAGTGACGTCCATCCGGTCGCAACTGTGGCGCCGAGCGCGTGTTATGGGTAAGTGTCCCTTGGCGACAAAGATGGCGATGAAATTTAGAGAAGATTAGAAAAGACGCGAGCATGCACACTGTACCACGAGGCCCGGCGCGTGACCGAAACTGTGATTGGTACTCGAGCAGTGATGAGCTGGCATAGTCGATGTGGGCTTGCAAGGGGGAGGTCGCATTGCCAGCAAGCGCACTTGTGATGGGAGCGCCAGGACAGCGACTCGGCAACTTGTGACACGGGCGTCTTGAGAAGTAGACTGAAACCTCAGCCTGCTTCAAGGGAGACTGCTTGAGATGCAGCAGCCAGACACAGCAAGCGCCTATGTTCCTAGCACCAGCCTCCTTCGAAGCAAGCCGCCGAAGACAGTCCCCAGGTGGCCACGTCAGCGTGCAGCACCGGGTGTCGCCTACGGCCGCTACGCCCAACCACCGAAACATCCGCCACGTCAGCAATGGCGTCAGATGATGATTACAATGAATGAGGAGCTTGCGGCGATGGAAATGGCAACGTTTACCAAGATCAGTCGAGACAAGGACCCGACACAACCAACGGGGACATTGACGAGCAGCGCGTCAGTTACAAGTAAGGTGACGAGAAGCACCATAAGAAGCGCTTAGGTGGTAGTGATGTTGGACGATATTTAGGACAGTCTAGTTTGTAAAGGAATTTCTTTGCATGTTGAGATTGGAGTTAATTCTGTTGGTTCTATACATTTTTTGTGTATATTTGTAGAGTGTCGCGAGTGTTATTAAATGATTATTTTTTATTAAGAGAGTCTTGTCTCGGTCCATTGCCCGCAGCAGTAGCCCATTATCCGTGACAGCACTGCAACAGTTTCTCCTGGCACCTTCCACATGGGTATGCAATGAACAACTCGAAGAGCACCGAAAGTAGAAACGCGAGAGAGCTCACAATCACTGGGCCAATGGTGCCATCCAGGCACAAAAACAGGCCCGGAAGGCCGAGTGCAGGCACCAACTGCGTACCAATGATCCGGCAGCCTTCCAAGCCGCGCTAAATCGCGAAAGGGAATGCAAGCGCCGGTGGCGAGTGGATCCTGCAAGCGTCGCAGAGTCTGCTCGCGATGTCAAATGCTTGCAACAACACTGTGTTGCGGCGTCAATGTAATGATTACGGGAGCGCGTTTGCCAGGGGGAACGCCCGCTTTCGAGTGAGAGTTTCTCCAGTGGCACATTGACTTCAGCTGCGACGTCTGTGACCGTTTGTGATTCGAGAACAACCATTGTAACTAACGCATTTAACCGCTCATTACACTCCTCCATGACCGTGCACATGCGAGGCACAATGTGCTGCATATGAAATAAACACTGTGGTAAATCCAAGCCAAACATGTGTCTAGCCTCATTAAGAAGCACAAAAAATGTAACCAATAACTGTGAATGGTTTCAGTGCCACGATGGGTTGAAACCCTGGACAAACACCGGGGCCGCATGTTTCGGCTTTTGCTGGTTAACCGTTCGTACAGAGTGCTTGGGCAGTGATTTTTATAAGAAAGATTCAAGACACGCTCGCATTTCCAAGATCAAATTGTACAGAGGCTTCATCATATCTGCACTATTTGAGGAAAAATAATTTTGATGCAGTGCTGCGTACACTGCTGTGATACTGTCCTCAAACGCATTGAGTCACTAGAACAAGACCACATACGAATACCAGTAGGAATAATCTATTAATTATTTATCAATATATGTTGAACATCCAATTAACTTCGTGCAAATGTGTCGCGGCATAGCACTGCAGTGTTGTACCATCTTGAGATAAGTTCCCGTTCGGTGTTGTGTTTGTGTGAAGCCATCTAGGTATTTTATTGACTCTGCACCACACATTTTCTCGCAGGAGTCTATTCACAATTCGCAATTGCTCCAAATGCAGACCAGTTCTGTAGTTTCATAATTATTTTCTCCTGTATCGACTCTTCGACTTGAATTTTTTTACAGGACCTTTGCTCTTGACCAGACCCATCTGTACTTTTTCCTTGTAGGAAGGCCTAATAAAAGAAAGAAAAAAAGGGAAAATGTTGCTCAAGGTTCCATCGACAGGGCTATCGAAGCAGATAAGCCCGCACTAAATAGTCATGAAAGTAAGCAATCTCTAATACTCACACCCACATGCACACAAAATTTGCATATTCACTGAATGTGCTCAGAAGAGATGCATCCTGATGTTATGCAATAATCTCTCATGTAAATTTGTTTCTTTTTTTTTTTTTTAACGGAGCTGTTACGAGCTAGTTTTCAGCAAAGCACTGAGTGCTTGAACTGAAAACCCCTTGTACCACCTAGAGAGCAGTCTTGTATTTAAGGCATAAAAGTGTAACCTCTTGCACCCTCTGTGAAGTGGTGGAAAAAACTAATGCATCAGAAAGCAAAGCCACCGCACAAAAAAAAGTGTCTGAACACTGTGCTAAGCACCCATGTTAACAGATTGTGAATAAATAATTAAAACAAATGTGTAATACCCATGATGCAAAACAAAGCTAAGAAGAGAAGGCTATCCACTAAGTTGTCATTGACTTTGGTGACGGTGAAAGCCCTCTGCTGGAAAACATGTATTGCTGCCATTGGGAATTGTAGGCATCAGGACAATTACTCCTTTGAGAAAATTTCATGCCTAACATGCGTTTCACCATGCTGTGTTGCACGGCCCCTACCACAATGCAGCATGTTCAGAAAGCACTGCTGATCGGTAGCCAAGGCTCCTGAGAACACATGAGGCAAACATTATAGTGCAGCCCGTGCGTGGCCTGAAATTCACAATTAATTCTCGAAAGCAGGCTAGCAATCAAACCACTACCACGCAACATGCATCCACAGTTCCATGAACATCAACGTACAGCACAGGCCTAGGCTCACGACAAATACTCGGACACTGAGGGCGCCTTCTTTGTCGATGCGGCTGGACCAGTGAACAGCAAATACACAGCAAGCATAATTCATCCACAAAAACAGGTTGATTGTATATCAGCCCAAGACATAGGCACAACTAGCACGGAAAAAGCACAAATTGCCCTCACCCTACAAAACCCTTAGTCTACCTTTATTCCGACAGCCTACCGAAATTTCTGTAAAGGCCACATTGGCCTCATTGTGCACCAAATCCTCACGCAGCTATCATCCCCACACTCAGAGGGTGAATGAAAGCAGCCGATATCGATAGCCGACCACTGCGGAGATAGAGACAGTGAGCTTGTCCACAGCCAAGCTGAAAAATTAATCGTCCAGATCTCCGATCCCGGCATATCGCACCCACCCTCGGCTATACGTATGAACCCACTTAACCTCACCGTCTTGTAGCTTGTCACACACGACATCAACCAAGATGCTTGAACGAGGGGGCAACGTGATTATGTCGGCCGAAACACGAAACGTGCCAAGATGGCTGTCATTAGGTTTTTTTGCTGCGTTGCCTGTCGAGAACATCACGGTGCGCTGTCGGAAATCAATTATAGCACCTATTCACGTAAAATGTTGATGCCTAGAATGAGGTACCGGAAGCATTCGGGAAGTATCAGGCAGCTGCAGAAACATGTGCGTCCGCGAATGCCGACTCTAGCCGTGCACATACCGAGAGGGGTGATGACGTGCCCACCGGCTGTACAGATTTGTGTTCTGTACAACGGCCTAGCAACTTTCTTAAGATGCGTCACCAGTTTTCTGCTCATGATGTAGTAGTCAGCCCTTGTGTCTAATAAAGCACTAGAATCGTGGCGGCCCTTGAGCACTACCCGTTATGTCCAGGGAAAGTCGGCTTTCTGATTCAGAAGCTGTCATCGTCGAATCGCTGCTGGTACGTACTCATGTCGATGAAAGCCCTTGCTCGTAACTTTTATCAGCGGCCCCGCCCCCAAAAATCGCTGTCGTTAGTTTTCCCACCTAGAGCTGAGCGATCGCGTTGGCAGCCACCCCTGGGTAGTTCGAGACACTTGAAGAAGACCTTCTTGGAGGTAATGATCGTGACTTGTGCCGCGGGGGCAGTGACATGTGCTGCTAGGACAGGTATTCCTCGATCGCTCTGGGTCTTTCGCTAAATGTTGGCCTGGGCGAGTCGACGGCGAAAGCCTGAAATCCGGGGTGGCGGTACTGGCATTCGCCATATACATGTCTGGCTTCGCCACAGTGATAGCACAGTGGCCGCCTGTCCTATGTGCGCCATATGTCCAATTTCCACGAGAGGAGCTGCCAATTCTTGAAATGCTGGACTGGTTGGACTTATGCAAGTGCATCGCAGGGTGTAGGGGTACGAGGCGTGCGGAGGGGTGTAACAACTCACAGCTTTGGCGTATGATGCAAAGAGGCACATAAACAGCTCACAGCCTTGTGCACGGCGAGGCTCCGTCGGTACAGGCAGGGAAGCATCGCGGAAAGTGGGACTTGCAGAGCTGCTGTACTTCGCTCCTGATGAGGCTGGAAATGCATCCCGCAGCAGGTGGAGGCGGCCAGTGAATCTTTTGCAGCTCGTCACCTACCACTGATCGGATGAGGTCGCAGAGAGCTTCGAGACTGATGTTACTTTCCGCAACTCCAATCTGTCCACCGGCGAAGCAGCATCGACACGATCGTACACAGCCGATCGCCGCTGCAGCATGTTTTCCATCATCATAGCTTCAGGTAAAAACTCTGCACAGTTTTTGGGGGACTTCGAACGAGACCTGTAAAGAGCTGCCGTTAACTCCTCGCATTAGGTGCCGCAACTTCTTGTCTTTCTGCCATACCGGGTCAGCGCGACGAAAAAGGCTAGTCATGTCCTCCACGTACATCATCATGCTTTCGTTTGGCATTTGAATGCGTGATTGAATTGCCCAGGTCCACTCGTTCACGGGGATGGGGGTCAGCGTAACTTGCACAGCAGTGACGGCAAAACACCGCCACGACGAGACGGATTCGCAGTTCTCGAACCAAGTACGACCACCTCCTTAAGGCTGAAGTATACATTCCACAGCTTGTTGCGTCGGTCCACTCGTTGAAAGCTGCAGCGCGCTGTAAAGTTAGCCAACCATTCCACGACATCCTTCAAAATGGGCCGCGGAACACCTTCGGCACTCCTGGCTTCTGCAGCTTGCAATTATCCGTCGGAGTATTTTCGTACCGCTCTGACGTAGTGCAGTTGACTTCATCTCCTGTAGGTTCACGCTCGGGAGACAATCCTCAGATTCTCCGGCTGGCCCGGTGGAGCAGGTGTCGCTGACTACAGGTATAGGGCTACCAGGAGGCGTTGGATCATTGGCTGGGAATACCAGCGACTTTAACAGTTGTCCGCGTGTGAGAAAGAGGGACTTTGGGGCAAGGAATACCGCATCGTCGCAGAGACGCAGGTCAGTGACGCGACACAATCAAGAAGCCTCAGTGAGAGCACTCGCGGTCCCAAAATGTCTTCCTCGTTTATATCTCCTGGATGTGGGCTCGTGCTCGCAGAAGTCATGGCCAGGAAGAAATATACATAAATTAAAGTGTTCTTGCCCCCTCGTCGATCCCCAACCAACGTACTATTCAGTCCTTTCAGCCCACCCACTCGTACGAAGAAGAAAAAAAGCTCTTAAACCATGTGACAAATACCTGTAACTCCGCTCATACTTCGCTGATTCAAAACATTTTTGCAGCGATCGATTGACTAGGCAATGACCTTTTTTAATAAAGCTTAATAATTACTTCAAAAAATGTTGCCGGGCCCCTGCAAGGGGCTGCTGAAATGCTAATCAACAAGACACTGATGCTTCCCAAAAACAGCATTCTGGGTAGCATTACAGAACCTACTATGAAGCTCTACGCTTGCAAATCCCTTAGACGACTTCCACGGGAAGTTGCGCCGGTCAGTTCCGTTAGTCACCAACATTTGCAGAGTGGAATGATGCTGAATTTTCTTGACTCTTTTCAAATCAGTCTGTACCATTACTGATGTAAGAAGCTTTTCAAAGCAAGTTTACAACTCAAAGACCACTTCTTTTTGCCCCTTCCTTTACCCCTCTTGCTACATAACCATATCGGAATTTTTTCACGGCCTTCGGCTGGTGTCCCACAAGTTCTGCATCGAAGCCTTTGCGTTTCTTGCACTTTTCTTCCCTTTGGCTGCAATGATAAACATGTAAGTGGCATGAAATATTGATACGAAAATGTGTCACATCATGTTTCATATCTGCAGCCCAATATCGCGAACTACAGCACACTCACGTGGATGTGTTTTTGAGCCGTCATCCTCGGTGACGGCCCGTATGCGCTTAGTTTCTTTGCCCTCTTGGCCAGGCGTGCCTGGTACTGAGCTGTTTTCTCCAGCTCCCTCGAGACACGATCTTCGGCCTGCATAAGATATGGGAAATTAGCCAAGTGTGGCCTAATGCAATTGAGCAACACAGTTTAAGAGAGCATGCAATGACACTTTTACGGATGCAAGCATGAAATAGCTACTTAAAGGGACACTAAA